AGACAAAGTCTCACTCTGTTTCCCAGGCTGGAGTGCAGTGGTGTGATCATAGCTCACTGCAGCCTCTAATTCCTGGGCTTAAGTAATCCTCCTGCCTCAGCCTCCCAGGTAGCTGGGACTATAAGCCCAGCTAATTTTTCTTATCTTTTTTGTAGAGATAGGGTCTCACTATGTTGACCAGGCTGGTCTTGAATTCCTGGCCTCAAGCAATTCTCCCAGCTCAGCCTTCTGAAGTGCTGGGGTTACAGGCATGAGCTGCTGTACCCAGCCACCGCCATGTGTTTACATAAGCTATTTCATACCACAATGCTTCTCTCTCTCTCTTTTTCTCTTCCATCATCATGCTCACACCTCCAGGCTCAATTCAATCACCCTTAGCTCAGAGGGCATCTCCTCTACAGCTTACTCTGAGCCTTTGAGACTGAGTTGATCATTCTCACATTTGTGCCACTCTACCTTGTGGTCATGATTGTTGTTGAATGAACACCTGCAAATTTCTGCCTCTGACAATGAAACAGTGATGGCTAAAATGGGGTTTTGAGTTGTACCTTAGTTGTAGTTCAAAGAGTGCTATTAGCTACTCTAGATGGAAGTCCCTTCATGCCCCTAGAGACTGAATTAACAGTGTCTTCTCTGCCCAGTATGGTACCCTTGACTATACTGCATTACAGTTGCACATTCTCTTGTTCCTCTCCTCTCACTCACCTGAGAACTCTGAGGATGGGATTCCAGTTCTAATAACCCTTCTTTTTCCAACATCTAACACAGTGCTTTGCACAGAGTAGGAAATCAATATATACATTTCACAAATGAATGTTGCTATTGAATAAATTATCTCAAAATAGAACTACTATATTGTTTCTGCCTTTACTCTATGAATCTCCTAAATGTCTCTGAAACTAGTGTCACAAAATCTTGTTAATGCACTGAGCAAGGAAGGAGGTTAAACTATGAGCTAGATTTGGGACCTTGTTTTAAGTCTGCATGCCCTCTCCCTGCCTCATTAGGGACTGTTTACCACATACACCCTCAGTAAAGTACTGAGCAGCCAGTCATCAAATAAAGTCAGTCATCTATATACTGCTCTTTAAAATTAATTGAATTGAGTGCTCTTGGAGGGTGTAATGCTGTAACAATGGCTTACATTTATTGAATGCTTACTTTGTTCCAGGCTGAGTGATAAGTGTGTTACGTGCATCATTCAGTTCCTACCCTGTGAGGTAGGAGCTATTATTGCCCTCATTTTATAAAGGAGTTAACTGAAGATTTGGAATTTAGGTAACTTACACGATGTCACACAAAACTGCTACTTGGTAAAACTGGATTCAAACCAAGACCATCTTGACTCCCATTCTGTGAAAGACACATACTCACATATTCACACATGCACACACTCACACACACTCACACACCTCAAAGTGCTATACTTCCTCGGTTTGATAGACTTAGTTATGGCAAAGCTCTAAACTACAGTTTGTCTTTTATATTTTTGGTGATCTGAAAAATATGAATTATTGCAAACAAGAAGTAGATTATAATAGTCTCAGGGTTTATCCTAAATAGTGTGTATGAGAAACCTATTCGCAGTGGCTAGAAGTCTGTTGGAATGTTATTATCAAACAGTTTCAGTGTTTGCTGTTTATCAGCATTATGCCAGATAACCCTATTTCCAACCCTCTTGTTTTTGAGCTTATTGACTATTATGGGATACAAATCATGAAAGCATAAAAATTTTCTTATTTAAAACATGCACCAAATATCACCATGTATGCAGGTGGCAGACCCTTTGGGGGCTACCTCATTTCTCCTAAAATGAGGAGATGGGTACGTTAGCTTTACATATTCTCTTACCAATGAAAGGGCTGATCTCCAGCAGCAGATTAAAAAAATTCTTTAGCAGGTTAAAAGCCAATATTGTATTTACTTAAGACTGACTTATAGTCTTGGATAATTTTCAAAGGTTGAACATTGTTCCACCTGTCTTCTTAAAGAACTTATAATTTGGTGGAGAGATGAAAATACATAAAAATAATTATAGTACAAAATAGAAATCTTAGTGCAATAAGAGCTTCAGATGAGCTCATACAAGAGTTCTGCGTGTATGGTCATCTCTTCAAACTCTCAGGGCTATGCTATTAATTACAGACAAAATTTGCAAATTTTGTCTTTATTAACAAATGAATAAAATTATACCAATATTTAGTAGCACCTCAACATCCAGGAACTCAATGGCAGAGAGGGGTCATGACTTTGTGAAGATGCAACAGGAGTTCTTCTTGAGGGACATATTGCCCTCTCTCTAGCTAGCATCTTATAAACTTTAAGAAAACTGCCTTTTCTCATATATAGTTTGCAGATTCACAATGCCGGTGCTGGATAATTGCACTATACCAAGGAGATTTAAAAATCCTATTATAATTAAATGTATATTTACATGTCCTTAAGTCTCATTTTTGCATAGTACATTTTTAGATAAACATCAACCCCATTCACCTTTTATATATTCAAATTTGATATCTGGTTTGTTGTTTACACCTAAACATTTAGTTTTAAAGAGAGCTTTCATATATTGAAGAACATCATCTTAATTATCAAACAGAAGTTGATAAAACCCACAAGAGGGAATATTTAAGCTATATGTAGAGATTTATCTTTCAAAGAATATGTTGCAAATGATACAGCTTATCTCTCACTCTACTGATGATTTTATGTTCGCAGTGAGAGGCAGTGAAGTGCGGTAGTTGAAAGCTTGGGCTTTCAAGCCACACTGTCAGGGTTCAAATCTTTGCTGTGTCACTTGCAAACCATTTGACTTTGGCCACATTTATATTCTCTTTCCAAGTTTTCTTATCAGTAAGATGGGGATTATATAATCTAACTTGTTGGATTATGGAGAATTAAATGAACAAATTCATACAAGAAATTAGCATAGAATCTGGTCCAGAATGAGCTAACAAGAAGTGTTATTAGTAATTACAGTGATATTGCCTTATAGCTCTAGCGGTTACTAGTACACATTATATAGCTAAAACATAGTTCATTCACTCATTTGTTCATTAATCCATTCATTCACTTACTTAATGTTTATTTATTCACTGAAGATTTACTAATTGCCTACCAAATAGCACTGTGCTTGGTGATATGGGAGACGAAATAACTAATCAGACATTGATCCTGTCTTCTTAAAGAACTTATAATTTGGTGGAGAGATGAAAATGCATAAAAATAATTATAGTACAAAATAGAAATCTTAATGCAATAAAAGCTTCAGATGAGCTCATACAAGAGTTCTGCATGTGTGGTCATTTCTTCAAACTCTCAGGGCTGTGTTATTAATTACAGACAAAATTTGCAAATTTTGTCTTTATTAACAAATAAATCAAATTGTACTAATATTTAGTAGCACCTCAACATACAGGGACTCAGTGGCAGAGAGGGATCATGAAAATAATTCTGAAGATTCCGTGTTTAGAAAACTTTCAGTAGTACATATTATTTCCAGATGATTACATCAAGGTTGCCAGAGTAAAACAAATATTTCACCAAGTGATATTTGTTCCTAATTTGTCACATTCATTAATGCTCTAGTTTTGAAAGTCAGAATATAATTTAGAAATTTAAATAACAAAAAGTAACTATGTTATTAAGCCTTAAATTTTTCTTTACTTTGCTTTGTTAATTCATTTATTCTTTCAGGCTTTTGAATATTTAAACCATTTAAAATATTAATAATATACCAGAGAAGTATCAATATTTACATTAAGTTGGAATTCACACTGTTCCATAATATTTTCCATGGTTTACATTATTCATAATTACACTAAATAAATCATCCTCATGGAAGAAACTTGAGCAGTCATATTATGCTACGGTCATTGCATGGCAACCCATGTTTTTCTTTCAAAGTTTAGCACAAAGAAATATTAAGGAATATTAAGCTGGAATAGTAAAATATGTGATATATTTTACTTAATGTCAGAGGTTCTTAAATTATGGTAAGTGAAAACTCATAAATTATGAAACTTATTACAGTACGTTTTTGAGTAGTAAGAACATCATATATCCATTCCTTTTTCTGCAAAATGGAACTGATGAACATGTCTGTGACGCACTATGCAATATTTGCATTTCTCAGGGATAGTTTCTATCACAGGATGATGACATAAATATACACATGTCAGGTTAATATAAAAATATTACAAGATAAGGATAATTCATATAGCTTTGTGGAACTGAAAAGACAGTGCACTCTCTACAGTCATCTTTGAACATTTTGGGAAACACTTGATTTCAAAATTAGGCATATTTTATGGCTATATCAATTTGATGGTTACTTGGCTTCTAAAAAGTACTACAATTAACTACAAGAGGAAACATTAGTGTAGGTTTCCCTCCCTTTAACTGATCCTTATGTTTGCTCTTCTTTATTCATTTCTAGTCCTTACAAACGAAGATACATTAGAATTGTAGTATTTATTTGAGTAAAACCTTAAGTTGTATTTCAAAATACAGTTTTGAGTAAAAATATTATCTATATAGATAAAATATTTTGTCCATGATCATTTATTTACTGTTTCATTTTATTTAAGGCATGTGAAACTCTGGCTATTCCAAGACAAATGTCTGAAGAAAATCAACCAAGAGTAAATTCCAGCCATATTAACCTGTGCTTCAAGATAACATAACTCATTAAAAAAAAAAAAAGGAGAAGCAAAATCCCACCAAACCAATTGTCTTTAGTCAAAAGACATTTTTCAGTTAGCCCTTTTATTTATGTATTTTTTTTCCTTTCCTTAGCTCTAAGATACTTTTCTATACAGATGTAGGCTTCTACAGGAATTACAAAATTCTCGAACACCCATATTATTTGGGAACAAAGTTTCCTCTGTGTGAGAAATGTTTCACATCAGGCTGAGTTCTCCATTCTTAGGTTTTATCTCTACTGATGTATAGGATCCAAGAGGCCCCTGGAAGCATCTGGGCAGCACTGTGTTACTTACGGTTAAGAGGCAGGCTCGCATTGGTCGTGCCTAGCTTGTTGGCAGCCACACAAGTATAGTTGCCGAAGTGCTCCTGTGTCACATTGGTAACAGTGAGAATGGATCTTGTGCTAAAATTTTGAATAATAATTCCTTGTTGGCCATTGAAGAGCCTAGAAGACAAAATAAACTCTAGGTAAATATGTATTGCGAATACCAGTTTCATTTTTATCTTAGAGGGGGGTTGTCATGGCAACCCATAGACAACTTGACCAGGTTGGCATTAGCTTATAGCATGATAGTGGTGCAATTGTAGTTTCCTTCCATTAGATTTGGGGGAGGGCAAGTTGCATGACAGCTGTAGAATGTTCCTATGGGATTATTTGTGCTATACGACACATTTATGTACTGTTTTGTATTTTAAAAAATTAAACACACCATAGCAATAGCATCTCATCTATTAAAATCAAGAAAGAGTGAAAGAGAAATAAATAAAAAGATTTCACCATAAGTACCAACTGATTGTTTCGAAGTCAGCTGGCTAGAGTATGTCTAGGCCATTTCAGATAATATTACTGGACAACTCCCAGGAAAGTTAACCCTACAACTGTGGAAGGGTGGTTCAAAGTCCAGAATCAATACCACTTTACTGTTGCCATGTAAAACCCAGACAGATGACTTCCATTAAACCTGGAAAGAGTTAATAGGGTAGTATTAAATATAGCATTTAAAGTTGAGTCACATCTCTGCCGCATTTTAGTAATGTGCCAGGGAAAGTCCTTTAAGTTCCCTGGGCTTCAATATGGGATTCAGTTTTACCTGATTTCACCCTCACTGCCCAACAGTCTCTTTCTACCTGTTCTCCTACCACCAGAGGCCCTCACCCTCATTCAGGCTGGCATGGCTTCAGCGTTCTCAGTGCATGCTGTGCTTACTTCTGCTTCAGCTTTTTTTCTGAATCTGCATCCTATCTCATGCACCTCTTCTTTCTCTGTCATTCAGATGCTTTCCTCCTCATGTAGGCCAGAACTAAGGCTTCTCTCACTTTTCCTAACGCTCCTTGAATGACTCTACTCTGTCTCTCTGTTTCTCTTGCATTGTTCTCTCTGCAGTTTCCATACACACAGTTTTTTCAAACCAAACAGACTGAATTGTTTTAAACTCCTCAAGAAACAGGGCCAAATAGACATACTTTCTTTGATATTTGAGTCTTATATAGCAGGTGGTATCATAGGTGCATAATAAATAGTACCTTGGTCAGTGGAGTCCAGGTGATGTTCCCCCAACACAGGCATTGGTAAGCCCCCTTCAGTGGCCTCTTCAGCAAATTCCCTATCTAAATATGAATTCTGCTACAATGAGGATGGCAACCAGATGCTAGCTTTTTCCTAACCAACCTCAAGTTTACTGGGAAAGAGATGCATTCATCACACTATGGGCTATGTAAGCTTATGGTCCAAATGGCATGTTAGTTTTTCCTCTTTGATATATTCAAGTTTTTGTACTAAATAATTTTTAATCCTGATGATGTTGATAAATGATGATGTTGAGAGTTTAAGTTGAATACCTTTGCATTATGTTATGTGGTTTGCATGTGAATTTAGATAAACTATGCTGTAGTTAAATGCAGGTTAAAATAAGCAGTCATATTTGATTACTGTGGGAATTACTTATATTTCACATAATAGCTGAATTTGGGTTATTCAAAACACAAACTTTAATCAGATTAATAAAACTTTGAATTGAATAAACGTTGAACAACTTGAGCAATACATTTAATGATCTCCAATTCTGATATAAGAAAACAGGGCAGAAAATATCATGGATGTGGCAGCTTTTACTCTTTTGTCTCATATATCAAACTTATCAACATTTATCCCAATTCCCATAGTGATTATTGCATAATTTTCTGCATCACATTAATAACTTTATTTTCAACTAATCAGTATATATGTTGTGCATAAAATCCACAGTTTTATTGCCTTGTAAGCTTCAGCATTGTGGCTCAAATCAATTTTCCCACATCTATGTTACAGACACATTCTCCAGAGAACTCAGCAACTCCCTAGACTACTAAATCCCCGTTGTGCTCTGTCTACTAAAATCGAGATTGTTTTGCTGCTAAAGAATTGAGAGGAAATTAACTAGAGTCTTCAATTGGCTAGACCCTGGGGAGAAAATCTCAAGTAAGAATATTCAGACACTCCATGGCACTGTTTGCTTATGTTCCTTATGGCTGTCTTTCTGAGTGAGTTAGCTTCTAACTCCCTGCCCTCTAATGTACCTAAAGGCAAAGCCACAGATGTTGCTGAATCATGCAGTGTATCCACACTTTGTGTGTATAGGCCCATTTTTGGCCTCTTTCAGCAGTGCTGTGTGCATCCTCACCAGAGTGGCACAGTAGTGCTCCAACCCCTGCTACTCAGATCAGCCAGGCAGGGGATTATAGCCAATAAAAAAGAAAAGTATCTTCCCTGAGGGAATGTTCTTCCCTCTAGGGGAAGCTACCTCTCTGAGTTTACTGGAGAAGTCCAAATCTAACTTTCTTCTATAGTTGAGAGTTTTAGAAGTGCTGACTCCTCAAACACCACTTAAGAACCTATCTTCACCTGGCAGATGCGGGAAGGACCTTTGCAAAGCTGACCTTGAGGGAGAGTGATGCCTGAGATGGTGTATATTTCTAGAGAATGCACTTTTGTGATTTCCTGCAGGGAACTGGGGAATGAGGATAGGCTTTCTCAATTATTCAAATCAATTCTGGAAATATTCATTAAATTCCTAAAAAGATAAGTTCTATACTGAGTGACTAGGGACGGATCTGGGCAACACATGACCTTTGCCCTTGAGAAGGTCAAAGCCGAGGGGAAGAATCTGACATGTAAATAAGTATTTACAACAGAAGGGTATTTCAGTCACAATGGGGACACTGTTAATATGAACACATCTACGCTTAGTTACTGGATATAGAAATTTGAGCCACACTTGGAAGTTTTGGCATGTATGACCTGAATGTGATTTCATTCTTTGAATTATACAAATTATAAAAGATCTCTTTATTGATGAGCTCTTTTCTTTATGAAACAGATTTCTTCCAATATGATTTTCTATAATTTTACTTCTGTAAAGAGAGTCAGTCTTATAATGAGTTAGATTATAGAATAAAATATGCTTTCTTGTAGCCCCTCCCCCCGGAGAAAGAGAAACAAATTCTGTTGAGCTAGGAGTTAAACATGGCATCCCATTCTTCAGCATAGACAGGTAGCATATGATGCTTACCTGGAAATACTTGGTAGTTTTTCTGTGTTGCATTTTTTATTATAGGGAATATGGTTATAAGATTCTTCTATTACTATGGACCCTGCTGTCCTCTGCCCTCTGACCCCAATAGAAGTTTGCTCCACATCGAGGCTCTTTACTCTCACTCTTCTTGCCTCTGCCTTTCACCAATGCCTCATAAATCTGTGAACCGCAGGCTATTTGCTTTGCCAGCAGATGCTGTCAGCTCATAAGTGACACAGCCCGACCCAGTAACTGGTTCGGAATTAGAATAGTCCCCTGTATTTTCCAGTGTGAGTTAGAAGTAGCACATGGAAAGCATGCTAATAACTAGGTATCCTTATATTTCTGACTCATGAAATGTTCACAAACTTTACAATCATAACCTCCCTTCAGGCAGTAGCTATCTAGGATGACCAGAAGAGCCTGTAGCAACATCATCACAAAAAAACTGACCACATAGCCATCAGCACCGATTGTCAAGACTGCAAAAATAAATGGAGCAGCTACACTGTGCCTCACTCATTTTATATATACATCCAGCCTCAATCCACATTTTAAGACTGTTGTTCACTATCTGTCTTTCCAGGTCAGGAGTAACAATAAACATCTCTAAAGAAACAAATTTTCAGATGAAAATAGCCACAAAAAGAATTCATTGCTAATGTAGGAAACATATATTGGAGAGTCTTAGACAACAACCTTTAAAATATTAAAATAACTTGGGATAGGTGTGAGGGAGACATTCTCAAATAATGATAAATCTGTTTATTAGACTGGAATTATATGAGGATATGATTATGATATATCATGTTATATGGGTGGATAAAATTAATATGGTCTTATTAACCAATCTTTGGTATTAGATGGTGGGGGAAGGTAGTCCTTGAATCATAGCAATTATATTTACAAAGAGAAGGAATGTTACCAGTAGCAATGGATTGTAAGCTCGTGGATTTCCAAGATGTGGTGTGAACTAAAAGTGTAGGTTAAAATAACAGAGAGAGAAAGAGAGATTTGGAAAAAGGCATGGGTGATGGTAGAACTCTAATACAGTCTTAATGGAAATGATGATGTGTTTGGTCATGAAATGATTAAATGTCTCCTATGTCTATGGAGTTTTAGAAAACAACGGGAAAAATATAATATAGTTAATATCTCAAGAATCTTAGCTATACCTGAAAATCTGAAGATAACATTAAGATGGCATTCAGGTCCCTTCCACAACACATCTCATAACGCCTCTCTCAAGGATAGAGTTCGGTCATACACACACACAGACACATACACACATCTAGGCTCTGAATCATGACTGTATTTTTGTTCTTTTCACTATGAGCAGGAATGCTTTATTTATGTGGAAAATGTTAGCCATTCTCAATACATTTATGACTGAAACAATCTAACACTAAAAATTTTCAACATTGTACACAAAAATGTCTGGTGTTAAGAGTGTGGGAAATTGACACACAAACATTTAAGAATTCTCAAATGTATGTATCAACTAATCTTCACAGCAACCCTAGGAAGTAGATATTATTAGTCCCATTTTACAGATAAGGAAAAAAGAAGTTTAGAAAGATTAAGTTAATTTATCTTTCACTATCTGATAAGTGTCAAAACCAAGATTCAAATCCAGGTCCTCTGACTATTGATGTCCTCCAAAAGTAGCACTTGGTATTTAAATCACCAAATAGAACTAAAATATTGTATCTGAGTTTGGAGAGACAAATCAGAAATCATGGATGCTTAGAGCAAATCGAGTCAAGCCAGGGAATAAAACCAATGGAGCTAAATAGCCAAGTGGTGTGTGGCACCCATGCCAGGAAAGGCAGGTTCAATCCAAGGGGTGAAACTAATGGGGCAGAAAGTCAAACAGAAAAGTAAGCTTCAGTTC